GGAAGAACTAGGCACGTGGGGCGAGTACTACAACTTCGAGAAGTGCGAAGATAGCTTGTGCCATTATGTAACCTACTTCTACATATCTTGTCGTCCCTCTCCGGTAAAACTGATCTGAAACTTGTTATCCCTTAGCCACTACGCAAGTACTGAATTCAAAGCGAGCTCAGACCAATCTCCTCCAATCTACTCTTCACCATAATCTTCTGGCGGGGATCAACCGCAACTTCCGTTCCCGAGCAAAGAGTCGGAAATCGCCCTTGCTCTTCACTAAGCTTCCAATCGTACTTGATCAGCAATTGCGTCAGAATGATTTTAATCTCATTGCTGGCAAAGAAGCGACCAGGACAAGTGTGCTTTCCGTAACCAAACGCTGTGTGTTCGGGTGACCCTGTGACGAAATGCCATTTACTCCGGTTAGTCTCGCGGAGCTTGACAAACCGATCTAGATCAAATTTTTCAGGGTTGGGATAGAGGTCCGGGTCGTCCATTTTGGTTTCGACGGCGAGTTTGTAGCCCTTGGGAATGATTGTGCCGTCGGAAAGCGTTATGGTGGCTGTGGCTTGGCGTTGCATTGCGACTGTTAATGTCAGGTATGTCAAAATACTAAGAAATAAAGCAGAATGACTTACCATTGCTTAGAGTGTTCATACGTTGAGATTCTTTCATCGCACTATCCAGTAACGTCATTGAAGACAATGACGTCTTTCTCCAGCCATGTTCTGCTAGAATCGAAACCATCTCTTTTCTTAGTCGCTCGACATGATGCTCATTTCCATTGTCGTGCTCGAGAATATCAAGCATGAGAAACGATAGTGTTTCGGTAGTCGTATGCAGTGCCGCCACTGCGAAGTTTAGTTGAAGACTGGCAAAATCAATCTTGACACCCTTCGCCCTGGCTTTGTCATCAATCCAACTCATCATATCAGCAGTCTTCTCTGTAATCTCTCCGCTGGCTTTTCTCCGCATGCGATCCTGTGCAATCGGATTAATGATTTCTCGAGCTTTAGCAACTTGTTGTCTGCATAACTTGAGCTCAGGAATCCACCATTGTGCAATGGGTCGTAAGAATGAAGGTACTGTGCGGAGTCTTAGGGCAGCCCGCACAAGATTTATGGTGTAGGATACAGCTATCTCAAGCCAGTCGTCGTTGCTTGCAGCTTCTGGCCCAAGAAAAACAAGAGTAGAGACCCGGGCAATAATACGGTAGATGAATGGTTTCAATTCTATAGATTTCCAGTCTTGCAGAAAGATTTCGTCAGTGTTTTGGTAGCTTTGGAGGGGTAGGAGCAGTACATACCTGGAACATTGCCCAGTCCATCCCTGACAACGGCTTCAACTTCAGCGTCCATGTCTCCAACAATAGCATCTAATGATCGGGTAAGATCGAGCCGGACGACGTCTTGCATGATGTCGTGGTAATCGATTGTTGCAATCGGATCCAATCCTGAATAAGTAGCCAAGAAGTCCTATTAAGGAGTCAGTGGTTTTGCAGCATCGGACAAGTTCAGCCAGGCCCACTAACAGATACCAGGCCTTTTGCGAAATCAAGTTCCTTTATATTCCGAATCTCATGCGCGAACGAGTTTGGCACGAAAATGACAGGTCCAGTAGGAGAAATCACTGCTATGGCGCTTTTAACCTATACGAACTGTTAAGACGTGTACTATGTTACTTATCCCCAGCTCTAATACCTTTTTCAATCCTCCGTAAAGAAGCTCCCGGCAGTTGGTAGTCCATTGCTCTTTCCCTTTAGAATGGTCTTTGAGGGCGTCGTTTGTAAAAGCATACCATGTCGCGTTTGTAGTGACACGTTTACTATAGAAAGCAAAGTAGAAGAAGCCTAGAGAGCATGCCACCGCTGTGGTGACAATTGAAACAAGAGAATCACTGAGGGAAGAATGGGCGAGCAGTTCTGCAACGCTTTGTGCCAAGTTCATGGTCGGTTAGAATGTTGAGTGATGAGGTTCGTTTATTCAACATAGGTATACGTAGTCATTTCCTGTCTTATGTATATAGACATCACAGGTTAATAAGCGGAAGGAAACCTGCGTCCGATTCCGTCCCCACTGTTTGTCGGTTACCAAGACGGTGTTACAATTCGGCCTTGGAGTCTCTATGGATTACCATGTCTTCGGCTTACATGCGTGGAGACAAGGTACGTAGTACCTCTGGCCGATACACATTCTTTACCTTTCACTTAAGTAAGTGCGTACTGATGAAATATATACCATTTCCAATGTTGGCATTAGACACTGAATCGGTTTACTACTGTGTTTACCTGGTACTATCATTGACTAGCCATAGGGCAAAGCCTATCGACTATCGGTCGACCGATAAATCGGAGATAAAATTGCCCAGCCCCGATTCTTGGCCTGTGATCTGCCGATCGACCGAGAGCCCAGACACTACATCATAGGACGAACCCCCCGCCTAATTCGCAGGTTGCGAAAGTGATTTGCAAGAAATGCCGCGGGTCGAGATCTTTCCTTGATCCGATTGCAACCCTGCTCTAATCTGAGGAATTTCACTCTCGTCGTTCAGAGTAACGGACGGGGGATTTCCTTGCTTACTATAGCGGAGCATCAATATTTCAGGTTCGAGCCGCCCCTATCAATGCGCTTCATAACTCGACTGTTCAATACGGGATCAAGCACTATGTAAATTGAGCGTGCAAGGCATTGCATAAAGGAAGATATTCCGACGAAACAGTGCGGGGGATGTTACTCGCAGGGGTTCATGGTGTTCCCGGAGGCGATGACATTCCCGGACGTGACGAATGCACTCAAGGTGTGGCTGGGCCAGTCTACGTGGATATACGATCGTGGAGGCCAATCGGTCATCGTGTGCCGGTGTACAGGGTTACTCGTAACCCTAGGCAAAACTATTGTCGCTCGAACTCTGGTATAAGAGTAAGGCTTCTTGCACAGTAGAAGGGACGTTTGATTCAACGCGGTTTCAATCATTCTAGTACAATTCTCAAGCCCTAGATATTCTAGCACTCACATACTATCGACGTCACGAAGGTAAAAGCAACAGTATTCCGCTTCTCCCATAGCAAGACTCGTGGCTCGACACTATGTACACCTGTTGAATGGTATCTCTCTAGGTAAATAGAGCAATACAGTGCTTTTGCACCTACAACCTCGCCTTTCCCACACCCTCTTCCAACATCTCCTCCACCGCAATCTCACTCGTCATCAAAATACACGTATCCTTCAAACTCGGCACACGATGTCTCTTGTTAACCGCCTGATACTCCTCGCTAACCAGCATATCCCTAAAATGCAGTATACTGGGATAATGCGCCAGTGCAATCTCATCCCAATCATCATTGCCGGTAGGACTTGTGGACGTTCTGTTAACAGCTTCGCCATTGACGTGTGTGACATTTCCGACAATCTTAGCGTTACCGCCATGTCTCGAGCCAATGGAACGTGCAAACGCAGTACCGTACTTGAGATACTCTTGTTTCATACCAGGATTGAAAGCAAGTAGATTGAACATTGACACCGCGCCTTTTGCTTCTTTAGAACCGCTGTTGATGAAAGATTGAATCCACGTGTTCAACTCGTCGCTCAATTCCAGGCTTTGACTCGATTGCGTCGTTTTCTCTTTGGCATTTTGTTGGAGCGCAGGTACAGTCTGGGGATTTGGATGTAGAAGCTTGCTGTTCTTTGAGGCGAAATCGTTGATTAGGCGTGAGGGTACACCGGCTGTTACGCTCCAGTGATGCTCGATGAGGTTGGCGAGATTTGATGGCAGAATGTCCGTGGAGGGCAAGATGAGGAGGAGGTCCCAGTGGATGTTCCGAGCGAGGAGGTGTTCGGTTGAGAGCTTGGATGGGAGAATTATCCAGCGGACGACACGGGATACGACTAGTGGCGAGACGTCGGTTGCTTTGAGCGTGGAAAGAAATGTCAGGACAGAGTTTGGTGTTGCGGCATGGAGCGCCAGTAAGTGCAGCGTGCAAAGAGGCATTCTGATCTATAGTTGTGATCGGCTGCGAATATTACGTGCGCAGAAGTGAGGTTCCGGTAATACAGAATTAAGAGGCTTGAGAAGACAAAGCATTTGGAGGTTGAGATGCATGACGTAAGTTCGAACGGCTTTGCCGAGGCTCATGTCATGGTGAGGAATGGCAGTAGGAATGCGAGTATGCTAGACATGTCCATCTAACAGTAAAACTAGAGCCTTCAGAAGTTGAACAGTTTCGACTATTATGCAGAAGCTATATCTATACTACTTCAGAATGCGCCCTTCAGCAGCCTCCTCTGCATGCTGCCGGATACGACCCAGTATTTTGGCTTCATCATCAACAATCTCTGGCAAGAGATCAAAGAGGCTCTTTTGTTTAGGCGTCCATCCAAACAGCTTCCTAGCTCTGACAGCCTTGCAAAGGGAGTTGGTGCCCCAGAGATAACTACCAGCTGGTCTCATTTTGTCCGCGTCTTCTTTGCTCACATTATCAATTCCCTCGTGGTTGATGAGTTTGTTCTTGAAGGCAATTTCGGCAATCTTACGCCCGATGTCACCCCAGCAGAACACTCCACTCTCTGCAAAGTAATATCCTTCCTGGTTCCAAGTGGCCTTGCCACCATCAGGCGACAAGGCCGCTGTTACAAGAGCGAGAAATACTTCGCTGAGATCTTGGACATGCACCTCGGTCCATCGATTCTTCCCCTCTCCTACGACGAAACCTTTCATTCGCTTCAATATGGCCTCAGTCATGTCGTACGCTTGCACACTACGCTTATTATCAGGTCCGCGTCCAGGACCATAGATGCAGGGAGGGCAAACAATGGCCGATTGGATGCTGCCTGATGATGCCTCGTGGGAGCCCAGGATAACTTTGTCGACGTTGCGATGGATAGCGGTATCCGGGAGAGAAGTGACTTCAGTAATGTTGTCCCAATCATCAAAGACCTTTTCTCGGGCAATACCGTAGGTATTTTCCTCAAAATCGGCAAATGCAAGGATGCCGGTGCCAGAGGTGTGGATGAGATATGACTTTCGCCCACTGCGAGCAAGGCCAGCAACCAATGCCTGGGCAGAAGCCAGGTGATCGCAATCAGCACAATGAAGAACAATGTCTGCATTTGACGCTTCCTCGGAAAGGAGGTTAGTGCTGTCGAGCGTGCCATAAACGAGGCGAGTCTTGGGGTATTGTGCAGCGACCTTGGCGCCTTTGTCGCTATTGCGGACCAGGGCGGTAATTTCGAGATCGGGGTAGGTATTTGCAATGGCATAGAGGGCATCACCTCCAATGTAGCCGGTCGCGCCGGTGCTTGAGGTTTGTCAGCAAACATCCCATGCCGGGCTTATGAGTATGGTAAATACATGAAGAGTTTCGGCATGTTGAATAGCTCTGTAGTGCTTATGTCGTATCAGGTAAGTATTGGAGGAGGAGGGTGAGTGTAGGTATTTGATGTATGTTGATGATTTCATATTGCAGTCAGGTTTATATAGCTTTCCTGAACGACGTCACCGATTCGTTGATTTGCAACATAAGCTTCTGATTGATTATCAAACAGAGAGGAGATTGTCGACCACGAGCAATTTGCATACCTACAGCTGAGATAACGCCCTTGGTGTCTTTGTAAGATCTTGGCTTGTATGCATATCAAATCCTTGGTGCGGGGTGATATGGACAAGGGAAGGAGATGGTATGGTAGTGTCACATGATCGCAGTGAAGTGCCCAATGGTGGTGGGGTTCACAACGCTGGTTTGTGTACACCTTGGACAATGTGCATATTATCCCGAGAAAATACCATGCAATCTGCGATGGTATGATGCAAAAATCCAAATTATGTTTCTAGGGATTGCCATGTACCTGTTCCGCGGTCCGAGAGAATGCCGAAGGGGACGTTGGCGGGGTCGTTGGCTGCAGTGTTCATGCATAGTCACGTGATAATGTACTGCATGGAGTACTACTGTACTGTATTGTACGTACCGTACCTGGGGTTGCGCTCAAGCCACGTCCTAGCTTGAGCCACAACCGCGTCACCATGGAAGAGCGCGCAACACCACGACTTTGCTGAACGGCCACGTGAAGATTAATCAGAGCCCCTTCAAACCGCGAAGAGCAAGCACTCGCCCTCATGGACGTCATCCAAGCCGTCTCCGGCTATATCACCAAAATGGTGTCAGCCGGGGACAGTGCGGCAACTGGCACCTCCGCGGCCAAGATGAAGATCCTCCTGCTCGACAACGAGACTGTGGGTTTGTCTGCTCTGCCAGGTAGCTGCGTGGTAGAAGCTTACATGGCATAGGTTTCGATTCTATCTACAGCAACTACGCAGTCTGCCCTCCTCAACCATGAGGTCTACCTTACCGAGTACCGCTCCCCCGCGACCCGTGACGCGATACATGGCTAATGCTGCGGTAGCCGTCTGGACAACCAGAAGCGCGAGAAGATGCGACATCTTCGCTGCTTGTGCTTCGTACGGCCTTCGCCCGAGTCCATCCAGAGCCTGATTGAAGAGCTGCGGGAGCCCAAGTATGGCGAATACAATATATGTGCGTTTCCTATGCGGGGCTCAGGCCCATGGACAATTGCTGACACCAGCAGACTTTAGCAACATTATCAAGAAATCCTCCCTCGAGCGCCTTGCAGAAGCAGATGACCATGAGGTTGTGCGTGCTGTTCAGGAATATTTCGCAGACTTCCTCGTAATCAACCCCGACCTCATGTCTCTCGGCCTCGGCTTTCCCGACCACCGCATATGGAGCACCAGCCCAGATGCCTGGAACCAGGATTCTCTGCAGCGGTCGACTGAGGCTGTCATGGCACTTCTATTGGCGCTCAAGAAGAAGCCCTTGATCAGGTATCAGAAGAATAGTCTGCTTGTGAAGAAGCTAGCGACCGAGGTCCGATACCACATGACCCAAGAAGATCAGTTGTTCGACTTCCGCAAGACAGACACACCGCCCATTCTC